GCGGATGGGCCTGTTGTAGCAAAGAATCTGTAGCCATTTAGACGTGGTCAATGAGTCGGTCTGTTTCGGCATTACCGCTATGGGACCTATAGAGGCACCCGTAGACGCGCGGATGGTCGTTTTTTAATTTACCCATGTGTTAATATAACTATTGTGTAAAATTGACTTTTCGTGTCTCTTTATTAGCAAAGACAAGTGTTACCAATCAGATACTCCATTTGTATCACAAAAAGTGTTAGGAGTTTTACAAAACAACTTACAATAAAAACAAAATACAGTATCTTTAGAAATAGAGTAAATAAGCCAAGTCCTTTCGACTTTTTCTCCATTTGCTAGACTTCTTACCAAAGTATTTGCACGAAAACTTTCTCTTATCTTTATTACTAGGAAATCTAAAACTGCTATCTCATTGGTGATTATTTCGGGCCACAAGCCGGGGTCAAATGGAATTATATCGATGCTAGCCTTATTAAAGTTTTTATCGAAAGTGTCACTTGCAGCAGGTATTTCGGTAGCTGACATTACCGAACTTCTTACACAAGCTGAATTACCTGAAGTGGATTGTTCAAGTGCTGTAGACGTCGATGGTGTCATCGCTTCATCGGACTCTGCATCAGTAGAAGCTGTTTTGTTGCAGGACTCACTGTCCACTCACGGTTACTGATATTACGGATTTAGAATCTTCAGATTCGGTCGCATCGATAGTCTCCGTGGAATCTTCATTGTTTTTCTTTTTTCTTTCCTTTTTTGTAGTTTCAGTTTCTTTTGCTCGCGAAACTTCGCACCTGAAGGTCTCTTTCTTTTATCCTGAAAAAAAAAAAAACAAATGAATAATTAGTAATTATGGGAATTAGGAATTAACTTCTGAAGTAATCACAATAATAAGCATCAAGTTTGCATATTGCATATTTAAGTAAAAAGCAATTTGTTCGAGCCCTTTCAGCTTTCAAAAATAAAGACAGTGAAAGTATTAGACTAATATGATCTTATACCCCTTAAATAACCTACAAAATGGTTTTTTAAAAAGATCGACAGCATAAAAACTAAGCGAGTTATAAATAAAAAAACTAATTACGTTTTTAAACTCGTACAGGGTCTTTGATTATATTTACGTGCTTCCTAGAGCCTTTATTATGCCAGATAGAAAAAAAAATGTTTTATGCAGAAGTTGTAGGTTTTTTCCTATATTATCTATTGAAGTTATCAGATAAAAACAGGAAACAGACAGGAATAGGAAACAGATAGGATTCCTATAAAGGGTCCTATAAAATCAAACCGTTGAAATTGCAGTCAGCAGGTATTCAGCACTTAATTTTTTAGGAAAAAAAAAGTAGTAAACAAAATACAAGACAACACTTGACGAAATAAAAATCATTTTAAATGTAAAAATTAATAGGATTACTCGTTTTTATGCACGTGTTGCACGGTCCAGTGAACTAACCGGTTTAAAAACGCCTCAGGCGATGCATCGCCTTTATAGCGCTCCGGGCATTGTTCATGTCTGAACAGGAAAAATCAAGAAACTACCGCCTGACATGTTCTCGCAACATAGGAATCGGCAGTAACTGGATGACATACTAAAAAAATTTCGTGTGTATTTATACCTAATCCTATTTAATTTCTCAACTTATATTTTAAAATTCATTTTTGTTTTTTTTTTTTTGGAAATTTTTGCAATTTTTGACCCTGGGTTTTGTCGCCCCTAAAGGATGGCGCCCGTGTGCACTGCACACTTCGCACATATGGTAGCGGGGGTCCTGTGTAAGTAAACTGTATAAATAACTTTAATTTACTTCTTGAAGAGAGAGCCCACTCCTTTTTAAAAGGCCGGCAACGCATCAGCAATTCCCCTGGTGTGGCAGTTGTTCATGGGCGGCGGTAGTCACTACCATCAGGTGAGCCGCATGCTCCTTTGCCCCCTCTCGTATAAAAAAAAAGATTTTACTTCGATAGCCTTACTTTACTAAATTGACTTTACTATTAAATCGAGTATTAAGAGGACTGTATAAAGAAAGGTGGGACAATTTAACAACTATTTAGTTACTATTTAGTTACTATTTACAACAGTTATGTGACAGTACAATTAATTACTAAATCTAACTAATTAGGGAAACACTAGAGGGAGATTTCTTGGTTCTTCTTTCTTCACTGCCGCTTGGGAATCGAATGACACCCAGCGGCCGGATGCCCTTCTTTTAATTGTGCGGCGAAGGTTTCATCGTCGCTGTGTGGTTGTGTGTTGTGTGCTGTGTCATGCTCGACCGGGGAAGGACCACGCTCTCACAGGATACCAGCGTAAAATAGCAGCTTAATGCTACTGTGTTTCGTATGGTGAGTGTAGAGAACCGGTTATCCTCATTACTGGAAAAAGAGCATTCGATCTTAGTCCTCACGGCTGACAACGCATCTACATTTTGATTCGCAAATAAGGACGAAGGCCTATGGGCCACAGCATCCACTTACCATCAGGTTGACTGTGTGCTCGCTTATCACCCTTGTCATATAATAAAAATAGTTCCGTTGGCGTTCACGAAGAAGTAATCGGACAACGCCTCACTCTCATAGTCCGATGGGATGGTAAACCGACACGACCGGAGAGAGATTAGGTGCAGGACCAACGGTTTTACGTGCTTTCTGATGCATGGGGGTGAACCACCGCCTAAGATATTGTATCGGGTATTTTTATATAAATATTATGAGTCTTTTCCACGTGGGAAACGATTAATTAATAAGGAATTGACAGATATAAACCTGATACAAATGAAAAAGGGACGATTCAATGTTTCTTAACGTATTTGAGCCCTTTCTTCGTGAAAGGGATTCTTATTCTTAAAATAATTATAAGACACCACCAATGGTTTTCGATTGCTAAAAAAGAACCCAAAATAACTAACTTACCTAATAAACAAAACGTAAATAAGGGTCCTAACTAAGACGATCGATTGTAATACTAAACGGTCTAAGTAAAACAAAACCTTCAGAAAGATCCTTGTGAAAGATCATTATATTGATTATCTATTCACGTCAATTTTAATATTTTAACAAACGGCCATATTTATATACAATAGTCAGAGCATTACAGCCTATTAAAGTCCACTGCTGAACATAGGCCTCCCCCATAGATTGCCTTATAAGGGGCATATTTGTCATAGATGTAATGTTACTGTTCATTTAAAAATTTCACCTCGCAGTGGGTCATGTGCTCCTGGTAGATTATCTTCTATACATCCATCCATTACGGCCTATTAAAGTCCAGTGCTGAACATAGGCCTCCCCCATAGATTGCCTTATAAGGGGCATATTTGTCATAGATGTAATGTTACTGTTCATTTAAAAATTTCACCTCGCAGTGGGTCATGTGCTCCTGGTAGATTATTTTCTATACATCCATCCATTACAGCCTATTAAAGTCCAGTGCTGAACATAGGCCTCCCCCATAGATTGCCTTATAAGGGGCATACTTGTCATAGATGTAATGTTACTGTTGATTTAATAATTTCACCTCTCAGTGGGTCATGTGCTCCTGGTAGATTATCTTCTATACATCCATCCATTACAGCCTATTAAAGTCCAGTGCTGAACATAGGCCTCCCCCATAGATTGCCTTATAAGGGGCATATTTGTCATAGATGTAATGTTACTGTTCATTTAAAAATTTCACCTCTCAGTGGGTCATGTGCTCCTGGTAGATTATCTTCTATACATCCATCCATTATAGCCTATTACAGTTCACTGCTGAACATAGGCCTCCCCCATAGATTGCCTTATGAGGTGGATATTTGTCATAGATGTAATGTTACTGTACATTTAAAAATTTCACCTCTCAGTGGGTCATGTGCTCCTAGTAGATTATCTTCTATACATCCATCCATCACAGCCTATTAAAGTCCACTGCTGAACATAGGCCTCCCCCATAGATTGCCTCATAGAGGTGATATTTGTCATAGATGTTATGTTACTGTTGATTTAATAATTTCACCTCTCAGTGGGTCATGTGCTCCTGGTAGATTATCTTCTATACATCCATCCATTATAGCCTATTACAGTTCACTGCTGAACATAGGCCTCCCCCATAGATTGCCTTATGAGGTGGATATTTGTCATAGATGTAATGTTACTGTACATTTAAAAATTTCACCTCTCAGTGGGTCATGTGCTCCTAGTAGATTATCTTCTATACATCCATCCATCACAGCCTATTAAAGTCCACTGCTGAACATAGGCCTCCCCCATAGATTGCCTCATAGAGGTGATATTTGTCATAGATGTTATGTTACTGTTGATTTAATAATTTCACCTCTCAGTGGGTCATGTGCTCCTGGTAGATTATCTTCTATACATCCATCCATTATAGCCTATTACAGTTCACTGCTGAACATAGGCCTCCCCCATAGATTGCCTTATGAGGTGGATATTTGTCATAGATGTAATGTTACTGTACATTTAAAAATTTCACCTCTCAGTGGGTCATGTGCTCCTAGTAGATTATCTTCTATACATCCATCCATCACAGCCTATTAAAGTCCACTGCTGAACATAGGCCTCCCCCATAGATTGCCTCATAGAGGTGATATTTGTCATAGATGTTATGTTACTGTTGATTTAATAATTTCACCTCTCAGTGGGTCATGTGCTCCTGGTAGATTATCTTCTATACATCCATCCATTACATCCTATAAAAGTCCACTGCTGAACATGGGCCTCCCCATGGATTGCTTAATAGGGGAGGAAAGGAACATTTGCCACAGTTGCCACGCTTGGCAAGAGGGTTGGCAACCGGCTTTTTATTTTGAGTTTACTTGTAGAAAGTCAGTTGACTTTCTTTTCTTCAAAATTATATCTGTGGGGTTAGCATCCACTGATATAATTTTGCGTTCGAATGATGCGTCAAAACATGTCGTCGACAGTCGACAGACAGTGTCGTTCGTTTAAAAGCACTCAAAAATCAGTATCATTTTATTCGCATGAGTAGCAGTTAAAATAAGCTTGCTTTATTATAGAATTTAGTCCAGCGCCTCAAAATGACGAGAAAGTTGAAACCTCCCTTCTGAGTTGGTCTTATTGTGGATCCATAAGGTAAGCTATGTAGTCTGTTTGCATTTTGTTGGAATAAAATTTTTTAAGGTTATAGAGATTAAAGAAGGTAAAGTTTGCTATTAGTGTCAGGATCGAGAACCGGCTATGGGATAATTAATACAACAATTCTCTCTATGTTTGTTTTCTGTTATGTTGTTTGTTTTCTTAGTGTATAATAAAGGATATTGTTAGGTATAATAGAAAATATATAATATTAGTTTATGTGGTAGAACCATGCTACAGCTATATTAGTAGTATGGTTGTAGCACGAATGGGTCGGCTCGACCGGGGAAGGACCACGCTCTCACAGAATACCAGTGTAAAACGTCAGTTTGACACTGTGCTGTGTTTCTTATGGTGAGTGTAGAGAACCGAAGACCCTTTTTACTTCAAAAGAGGCATCCTTAGTCCTCAGGGGTGGGTGACAAAGCATCTGCATTTTAACTCTAAACTGATGATAGATGTTCTAATAAGATCTCTATGGATCACAGCATCCACTTACAATCAATTGGACGTTTAATAATACTATTTTTTAGATATCTGCAACTCGCTCGCTTCTCCGAGATGACATCGTCCATGGGTCATTACGGATGGTTGTCTGGAAACTACAAGTACGTAGATACAGTTCATAAATTGTTCAATTATTAGTTTATAACACTCTACCAAAAGTCAACTGCTGAGCATAGACCTCCTCCGTAGATTTTCTTAAACGGGGGATATTTGCCACAGTTTGCCACGTTTCGCAACCGCAGTTTTGACGTGAAGTCTTTAAATTTGCTTCCACAGTGGGAAGCAATTAAGAAAACTAATGATAACAAAATCCGGGGATACAGTTTGGTGTTGTAGCTGAATATCTATCATCTCCATCCAAGATTTAATTGCACCATTCGATAGCTAAAGGACCAAATAATTCGTTACGTTAAGTATGGACTGTGAGCCATCGCGTGCGGCGGACGGGGGAGCGCCGCCATTTTTAGGGCGTTTCTTTACGTACACGTACTCACGTAAAACACATGGCCGTGTCTATGACACAGCCACACTCTGATTTTTTTGTTATTTAGTGTTTCCAGGGTGACCCTGCTGCCCATCTCCAGTTTCATGTTCCCCAGTTACCTCTCACGTCACTCACGGGACGAAATTAAGTGGAATCTCTTACTCCATACTACAGGGCGGTGTAGTTTAGTTTACGACGGCCTGTTTTCAGCAACTCCATGTCTAAGCACGTATTTTGCGTGTGGGCAGCAATAATGTAATTATTCGGGGCATGAAATCTTCGTTCTTTGATGTTGCAAGCAACTTCGGGGAGTGATTCCGTTGTGCCGAGATGTTTAGCTCTGTATGCAGCGACCTCCGGACATGTCAGCAACATGTGGGTCGCCGTTTCTTCCTTCCACATACATGCCCTGCACAGGGGAATATCCGTAACTCCTATGGTAAATAAATGTTTGTTATAGGAGCAATGTCCTGTGATAGTACTTGTTACTATCCTGGTGTGTGGCTTGTTCAAACTCATTGGGTTCTAATGAGTTACGCGGCTGTTCATTTTAGGCAGAGCCCTAGCTTGTCTACAGCCTACTAGATTTTTCCAAAGCTGAGCGTGTTTATTAGTGAAGTTTCTTTCTACATACCAGTGAACGAACGTTACCAAAGGGGATTGGTATGATTGGTTCCGGCCCTATAGTAGCCAGAGTCGATCCTCTTCTGGCGAGTTCGTGATCTGCATCGTTGCCTCTGGATCCACTGTGTCCCTTTATTCATTACACAGACACATTTTTGAGTTAACATACCTCATTTAATCATTGATGGCATTCGTATATTAGTCCCGAGTTTACCACATTGCAACCCAGAGCTTGTAGTACCGCCATGTTGTCGATCAGCATTCTGATGGAGGAGTCTTTTACTTTCACAGCATATCTACTAATATGGCCGCTTGGATGATATCTATACATTCCGCCTGAAATACTGTGTTGTGGGTACACAGCGGTGTTCATATATGGATGTTGAGGTCTTCAGAGAAAGTTCCAGATCCTACACCCTCATTTGTTTTAGAACCATCCGTGAAAACTCTAAGCACTTTTAGGCTTAATCCCTCAAGCTGGCTGGTTTCATTTCATTGTATCTTACACTTTTTATCGAACACAATTTGCTTGAGATTTTATCGTACTTCGTTTGTGTGTGATGGTTTTTGAGTAAATTCTAATCGTAATTCGTAATCGCGCTTTTCTTCGTTTTAAGAGAGAACGTAATGAAGAAAATTGGTCATCTTTTAAAGCAGCGAGGAATAGGTGCAATCAAATGGTACGGGCAGCTAAACGCCGATATTTCCATAATTGTATTAACAACTCTTCTCCCGCCTAAGTGTGGAAATTTCTTAGATCTTCTGGTCTTTGCAGGCCAGCTACATTGGATTGTGGTCCTTCTCTATCACTTGATGAAATCAACCAAAATTTCGCTTCTGTAACAGCAATGGACCCTACAATTCGCTCTCAAACTGTGGCTTCCATTGCTTCTGTGCAAATTCCTAATATACCTACCTTTAATTTCTCTCCTGTTTCGCAGGATGATGTCAAAAAGTCTATTTTAGCAATTCAGTCCGAGGCGGTGGGTTATGATGAGATTAGTAGACAAATGGTAGTATTTATACTAGAGCACCTTCTTCCGGCAATTTCCCATGTTATAAATTTTTCCCTTGATTCAGGTCAGTACCCTAATCTTTGGAAAAGGGCTTTTATAAAGCCCCTTCCAAAAGTTCCTTCTCCCATTCTTCCCAATCATTTTCGCCCTATATCCATTCCTACCCTTTCTTTCCAAAATTTTAGAATCCTGTATTTACAAGCAAATTTCTACATTCATTTCGAAACATAACCTACTGAGAATATATCAGTCTGGGTTTCGCCCTGGTCATAGTACCAGTACTGCTTTAATTAACGTCACAGACGATATTAGAAACGGTATGGAAGAAAAAAAAGTAACAGTACTGGTACTAGTTGATTTCTCAAATGCTTTCAACACAGTTGATCATGAAATCCTTGTATCCATACTGTTTATTACCTCCTTCTTCGATTGCTCGTACCATCTGAATACCGATGACCTTCAGCTATACGTGCAAGCTGAAATTGGGGATATCCATAATGGGATCAAAAAATTAAATAACAACTTACAAGCTATCAAGGATTGGTCTACTCGTTATGGAGTGTTGGTCAATCCTTCAAAATGCCAAGCTATACTGGTGGGTAGCTCAAGGATGCTAGCCAAGATTAATCTTGCAGACATATCCCCTATCTAATACAATGGGATTACAATACCGTTCAGTAAGTCTGTAAAAAATCTTGTCTTACACATTGACAGCACGCTGAATTGGAGAACTCAGGTTTCTGAAGTCAGTCGTAAAGTCACTGCTACGTTACGTACTCTGTATCGTTTAAAACATTTTCTCCCCACAAAGTCTATGGGTTTATTCTAGTTGAGTTTACTGTCCAAGGCAAGATCTAAGTAGTTTACCTCAGAGGGTAGCTGGAGTTTTGTGCTAAAAAGACGTGGTAGGTGATAATTATTCAGCATTCGTTTTTGTGTGAACATTACTAACTAAATCAGTTTTTTTTTTTATTTGGATTGACGATTAAGTCGTATTCTTTGCACCATCTCTCCACTATACGGAGACCCGCTTGCGTCAGGTCTCACATCATGATTGCTGTTTATCCCGAGACCAGTATTATCAGGTCATCTGCATAGCCAATTGTATAGAAGTAGTTAGAATTTAATTTGCTGATTTGTTCATTTATGACCATATTCCACAGGAGAGGTGAAGGATCCTACCCTGCGGGCAGCCTTTCTTAATTTGTATTGTTTGAAATTCACCAGCAATCTCTATTATTGGTGTACTGAGCATGTTTAGTATCCAGTCAATCAGTGCCGGTTCAACTCTATGTTTACTTAGTGCAACTTTTATGCCGGGGAAGTTCATTCTGTCAAAAGCACTTTCTGTATCTATGAAGGATCCTAAACATATTTCTTTGTTTTGGATGACACCTTCAATCTTTGCTATTACCTGGTGAAGTGCCGATTCTGTAGATTTTCCTAAGCTGTAGGCATCTTATTGTAGTGGTAAGCCCATTAGCGCCGACCCCCTTAAATTCCTTTCACACATCCCCTCCATCGTCTTTAGGAGAAAGGATGTGAAGCTAATGGGTCTTTAGGATTTTGGGTTCGTATAGTTTCTCTTACCAGGTTTGGGTATGAACGTGACTTGCATTTCCCTCCATCCCCTAGGAACATATCTGAAAGGGAGACAAGCTCTCATTATGGCGACAAGTCTGACTATTGGGCCCTTACCTCCCCAATGTAGGAGTACCGGGAAAATTCCGTCAGTTCCGGTCCGCGTTGTAGGAAAGGAAACTGTGAATGGTCCAATGGATTTTATCCGCTGTTACCACTCTCTGTGCTAAATTCTAGTCTTCGGTTGTTGGTATTACTGCATCTTCATTCCCTGAGTTAGGCAGCAACCTGGGAAGTGCGTTTCAATAAGGATGCGTTGGGTTTCGTCCGGCGATGTTGAGTAGTTGCCGTCGGAGTTCTTTAAAGAGTAGGTTCCCGGCGTGCCCTGTTTAGTAAGGGTTTTCCTTATCCGATTCGCTTGTTCACAGATTTCTATGTTACCACAGAATTTACGCCATCCTGTCGAACGTCAATACCTGATACATTTTTTGTACTCAGGCTTAGCTTTCTTGTATAGTAGCCAGTCTTCATCCATTGAGCTATTCATGGCCCTTGTTAGGGTTTTCCTTACCTTGTTACATTTTTTATCTAGTTCTTTACCCCACCACGGTTGCTTTAACTCAACATCCCTTGGTGGAGTGATTTCTGGATATGATTCATGGTAGCTGTCTATCATGGCTCTAGTAACAGTAACCATCTCGTGCTTATCCCCTCATAACCCTCGAGCTAAGACGTTATCTTATTAAGGTACTTTAATTTGTCAGTTGCGGGGATTTTTCCACGGTGGTGTAGCGGGGATATCCACCTGTAATACGAAGCAGATCCATCTATGGTCTCAGCATGAAGCCTCTCTCGACACATGCCATCCCGTGCTTAGTTTAGCATATCACCCTGATATATTTTTACTTTTTTACTTTTATGTACCACCAAAGATGTAAAAAAGTGTGATAAAAGATACCAAAATTAGTTCTCTGTGGTATCTCTGACTGTTTCTTAATGATCAGCGAGGTGTTGGATTCAATGTGCGAGGATATCAATGTTTCCCTTCACAGCTTCAGGACATCCTCCGTGTAAACGGGTTGCCTCTAAAACAAGGGTCCTGACTACTCCAGGCCAGCCTTTGGTTGCTGTTCGAGTCGCCGAACTTTTTTGTGCTCGCCTCTCAGCGGACTCTTCCAGCTTCCTTTTGGCTGCACTTTCCTTCCAGGATGCATGACCGCTCTCTGCTTCCTGGTAGATATCTTAGAGCTTATCCCTGCGGCCGCGCCTTCCACTTGGGCTGGATTTTTATCTTTCCCAGTTTCAACGTGGCTACTGGTTTCAGCCCCGAGCACCGCATTGGCAGTAGCTTGCCCAGCCTCCTTGATGCTGCTCTTAGAAGCAGCCAGCGCGGCCCTTTCGTTACAGACTTTTTCTCGCTGCAGCAGGCAGTGGTGTAAAGGCCAAGAAAAAGAATAAGAATCTTTTTCTTGGCCTTTGTCCGTCAGGTCGGCAAGTCAAACTGCCAGCCCGCCGTCTTAGTGTGGTAGCACCTATGTTCAGCAGTGGACTTTTATAAGCTGTAATAGAATAGTTAGACAGATAATAATAAAATAATATTATTTATGTTTTACATATAATCAGTGTGGTATTTCATGTGTATATAATGTATATATACTGTGTGTATACAGTTAGTATGAGTTAACACGTAATATTTTATAAAATAAAATTGGGAAATCAGAAGTTTCCACTTCAATCGTGTGGTCATAAGCCCCACACATTACTTTGTTTTCTTTTTTTTTTAATGGAAGAAATGAAACGAGTGTTCGGCTCACCTGATGGTAAATGATCACCGTCGCCCATAAACATCTGCTACACCAGAGGAGTTGCAGGTGCGTTGCCTTTTAGAAAAGAGTAGGCTCTTTTTTGAAGGTTCCCAAGTCGCGTCGGTTCGGAAAAGCCGCGGGCGACAGTAAATTCCATGGTGTGATCGTGCGAGGGAGAAAATTCCGCGCGGTAAAGTTTTTAAAACAAGAAAATATCATTTTTGTAAGATGAAACTCGCCGGAAGCATCTTCTTTTGAAAGAGAATTGCTTACACAATTTCAGGTACTCTCACATTATGGAGCCTCACGAAAGAATGAAGGGATATGGATAGGTGAATACTTATTTATGTTTTAAATTTAGGAGCGTTTTTTTTTCATGACTTAATATGTAAATTTGATGATGTATCAAGTCAATTTAAAAGTATATAAGGCACAAAAAAACGCCCCTAAATTTAAAAGAAGTCATATTAATTTTAATAAAGTACTGTTAATATTTTGTTGTTTTATTAAGCACATTTTTAAATCTACGGCTTGGCCAGTCACTGTTGTTATTTGGTTTAGTGGTGGTAGTGCAAGCGACTGTAAGAGGGTGGGAATAGCTCTTCAAAATGGGTAATATCCTCATAATATTTTATACTAGCGATCCGCCCCGGCTTCGCACGAGTTATTTCTGGATCTGGACAACAGCGCCACCTACCGGGTCGAATTGTGAATCTAGACCATTCTCTAATCCACTTAATCAAGGAGTTCAGTCACACACGCGGACAGAAGAACTATATATTAACTAGCGATACGCCCCGGCTTCGCACGGGTGCTTTCTGGATCTCGACACCAGCGCCACCTACCGGGTCCAACTTTATATATTATATAACCCATTTAAACACACGATATTATTAGCGATCCGCCCCGGTTTCGCACGAGTGATTTCTGGATCTCGACAACAGCGCCACCTACCGGATCAAATTGTGAATCGTTTAGATCATGCAGGGACCCACTTAAACACACACACACAAAAATAATCAAAATCGGTCAAGCCATTTTCGAGTTATTGCGACAGCGACTGCAATTGATTTTATATACAGGGTTATTTTGCAATAACCGGCCAAATTTGCAGAGAAATTCCGTATAATTAATATTGCCTATTGTTCGCGCCCAAACGCTGGTTTCAAGATTTAACGCCAGAGGGCGCTCGGCTCGATATGGCGCGTTCATAACCGGTTAGACGTGTGGGCGGTTAACGGGAGTTTTGTTGCCAGCGGGCCGCGTCCGGCGATTGCAGGCAGTTGGTTGCTACCGGCGGCTGGGTCAAGTCAAACAGTAGCTCGCTGGCAGCGGTACAGTTAATTAGCGTGTCTCGGTGGCCGCTGCCGAAGTTTCGCGCGACCGGTTTATGGTCTATATTTTTAGAATTAGTGCGTATTACTTCACTACGTAATTGTGGTTTTGTGAAAACCGCCTCGGTTTAGGTTGTCTAGGCTTTAATTTCGTGACAAGAGGCTTGTATTGTATTTGACTGATTAAAGTAATTTCTTTGAAAGTATTTGTGCAAATTATATAGTGATTGCGTGTTGAAGTGCATTTTACAATATTTAACTTGCTCGTGGGACGTGGAATTTCACGCGTGCGCCAAGTAGATACTACGGTCTGGAATTTGAACCGCAGATTCCAGTTTCGAGGGCGTCTCCCGGTTGATTGTTTGGAAATCATCGTTTAATTATACCGTCGCGTTAAGAGCCTTTTGTGTGTTGACTCGGTAGCTAGTTTACGTGTCAGCTAGGTTGATTTTGCGGCGTAAGTATCGAACGAAGGAACTTAGCTGTATTTAACGCTGAACCGTGTGACTCATGAAGAGATCGCGTTAGTTCCCTATTTGTAATTTGGTGATAAATGAATCCGGGACATTGAATATTGAACTTTGAACTACTGTCCGTTACTGTGTCGGGTATCACGCGTTCGATTCTACGATGAATGTTGAATTAGGCGAGTTGAAGTTAGTTAAATGTACAATAAAGTGATAGACTAAAATAGTGACAATGAAGAAAGAAACTGTCCATTGTGGACGCCTGCTGGAGTGATGCAGCATTGTGGGGCAGCATGAAACCGACCGCTGCCAGGTCACCTCAGCTGGGTCAGGTCACCCACATATACACACCACTAAACACCACTATACATGCACCTACACACCTACGGCCTGACCGAGCCTTGGGACAGTCGTCGCCTCAGAACCAGGTACGTCTTATTTATTTACCTCGCTTTCTCCCTATTGTGTAGTATGATAGGACATTTTCCATAAGGCCATTTGGGCCCGAACCTTCGGCTGCCCGTCGATGAGGCTACTATGGGCCCTAGCCAAGGCGACCTTTGCAAGGGCAGCTGTGGGCCGTAACACGTTTACCGTGTTTGCAAAGACAAGGAATTAACGCACGTGTACCACCAATCGAAGCACAAATTTTGCAGTTAACCAAAGGCTGTTAGACTTTGGACAGTTCACCATTCCGTCACATGGAAGTGCTCGAGGTGGTCATTCAGTAATAAGCTCGGCTGTCGAAAACACAGTGATCAAGTCAAAGACAACAATATTATAGAGAAGGGAACATCAAGTTCAGAGTTAGCCAGTACGTGTGAATACTACTGAATTCTTCTGGATATCGCCCATTTCATTACCAACGTGTACAAGCACTGAATAATAACGATGGTCCACCTCGAAAACATTTTTGGTAATGGTTAGTAACATTTTAAGTGATTGCATATTTAAGTAGTAAAATTATGATAATAAACATATTACGACGTTCTTCCTTTCTTACTTTTCTTTCTTTTAAAAAACGTTACCCCTACACTAGGATTTTCTCCTGTATCGTGGAGGCAGTTTATACGGCGTAATGTTTATTATCACGCCGTACGCGCCGACGCGATGTTCGAGTAGGCTAAGGTCGACAATACTTGGCACTATTTGCACTATAATTAATAGAATCAGGCGTTACTTTGCGGAAATACATTATATAAAAGCCCTTACAAAAACTTACTTCGCAAATATCCGCGTTATAAAATAAAATGATGTGTCTTACCTAGTATGAAGAAGCACCTCCCGCCCTCCCTCAATTGCGTGCACTACACTATCCCCGTCACCACTAATCCCAGCACCGCTACTCCCAACACCACTACACTAGGCAAGACACACCACTGACGATAATACGACACGTGTTTCGCCTCTACACGAGGCATCCTCAGGTGATATAGACTCTACGGTGGCTAACCGCTAAGTGAGCTTGAAGATATTTAAGAGAGGTGAGTTAGTAACATTTGTTTGTTCATTCAGCGATGCAACGGTATTATTATTACTTTTTAATATCTCTAACTGTTCCAGCACACACAGCCGCAGCCCTTTATTACACGTATGTAAGACTTTAAAGGAGTGGTCGTTGGCTAGGTTTTGTCCAGTGTCCAAAAGATGTTTGGCAAAATGGGATTTATCGGGATTGCAATTCCTGTACGCGGCTAAATGCTCTTTATAACGTGTCTCGAAATTGCGACCAGTCTGACGCACGTAAACGGCGTGGCATTCGTCACAAACAAGTTTGTAAACACCTGACTTTTGCCGAATATCCAACTTATCTTTACTATTACAGATATTTCTAAGAGAATTGTTTGTTTTGAACGCCACATGAACACCGTTTTGTCGAAGAGTATTAGCTACTTTTTCAGATATGGGGCCTAAGTAGGTCAAACTGCTCACATATCGATGAACACTTTGTGGTTGAACCGCGTACAGAGAGTTGCGAATAACATGCTTTTGTTTCTTTTTAATTAAATTGTTAATGAGATTTTTTGAAAAACCGTTAGAGACCGCTATTTGATAAATTATATTAAGTTCTTTTAAATAATTTTCTTTACTTAATGGGACAGTGAACAAACGGTTAATGTAACAATAAAAAGCGGCTACTTTATGTTGCCACGGATGACATGATGACGCGGGGATGTCCGTGTCGGTGTGAGTTGGCTTTCGATAAATTTGGAAAACATGTGACGATTCTTTTCTTGTTATTGTTAAGTCGAGAAAATTAAGGGAACAATCTTGTTCCAATTCAAGTTCAAATTTAATTTTGTCATGGACTCTATTTATTTTATTGAGGAAAACATCCAGTTGTCTCCTTGTGCCAGTCCAGCAAATAATTATGTCGTCTACATATCTATAGTAATATAAGATATGTTGTTTTTCGAAATTATCCATGAAAATGTCCGCCATAAGGGCACTTAGAGGGGACCCCATAGCTAACCCTTCTTTTTGTAGATAGAAACGTTTATTAAACCGGAAATAGTTTTGTTTCATACAGAGAGAGGTTAAGTTAAGAAGATCATGTGTTTCCCCGGGATGTAGACGACGTTTTTCAAAGAGATCTGCGAGTATACGCAAACAGTCAGGGGATGGGACATTTGTGAAAAGACTATCAACGTCTAAAGATAACAATATGGATTTAGGAGGAATACGAATATCTTTAATTTTGGAAATGAGATCTAAGCCATTTTTAGGCTGTAAGTGGGGTTGAATCCAGGTTTCTCTCGAAGGAGGAAGTTTAATTTTTTAGCAAGGAAATAAGCTGGTGCACCAATATATGAGACAACTGGACGAATAGGAACATGTTCTTTATGTATTTTTGGTAACCCATATAAAATGGGTGCTTGAGGATTCATTGGAACAAGATTGCTCCGAGACAAGTTGTGATCGGGAAAAACATATGATGACTGTTGTATACATAACTTAATATCCGAAGTAAACTTTTTGGTTGGGTCAGACTCCAATAGCTCAAAGTCATCACCTTGGATAACATCGTTAACTTTCTGGCCGTACCCACTACTCTCCATAATAACAACAGTATTGCCTTTATCGGTTTTAGTAATAATAAGGTCGTTTTCCCTTATTCTCTGCTTTAGGGATTTAAAAACAGGGAACTCAGGATTGAAATGGGAAGACGCGGGCACAGCCCGAATTTCATTAGCTACCAAACTTTTAACGAAGTTATCTTTCTTCCCGATCACAACAGCCACCTCCGCGTCAACAGCCATAGTCTCTAACGATTTTTGGGAGACCGAAGGTGATAAATTATACTTTAGGCCTTTATGTAAAAGGGACAGCTCATCTGTTGGAAACTGGACATCGGAAAGATTTTTAACTCGGGGATAAAATTGGTGATATTCTGTATGTATGTCGTTATTACGATTACGGGATGAAGAGGATACAAGTCGTTGTAATTTGATATTTCTCATAAACTGAATTTGATATTTCTCATAAACAGCCATTGAAGCAAGTTCTCTGGCTTTCCCATCCAAAATATCA